GTCACCCAGAGGGGTAGGCAGAGACCACGGATTTCCATTTGACACGATCCTGACATACCTCTTTCGCCTCCTTTACATCCATATATCTACGCATACATGCTCGTCGGTTAAGGGTACTTTTAACGTGGCCCATTTTCAAAATATCGCCAATTTGATCGATAAACTTTTTTCTAGGGCGTCCCTTCCCGACTCTGCCGTTCACATCTGCCATATAAATTTGCTTTGTCACTCTTTCCTCATTCATTCTTTCTACATGTTCAAACCACCGAAGCATTTCTTTCTTAATCCTGGTCACACCATCATCTTGCATACCACATTTATCTCTTATCACGCAATTTCTCACCCTGTCATTCAGATTCAACCCTAGCCTACTCCTTAAAGACCCTCATTTCTACAGAATTTATTCTACTTTCGTGCTTCTTCTGCCACACCCAGCTTTCACTACCATACATTAAAGTAGGGACTAACACAGCATTATGAATTACCATACGTGCCTTTTTTGATACATTCTGGTTCTTCACAATAGAGTGTAGTGCCCCATTCACTCTATTCCCTGCATTGTTAAAAAAGTATTTTTTAATTTTTTTACTTTCTACTATTGTCTTTGTATTTATGGCTAGGAAATGTCCGCGGCGCTGCCTCAATGCGTGTTGGCGAACTTCACATGCCTCCGAAATTTTCTCAGACATGCAGGTTTCCTCACGATGTTTTCCTTCACCGCCGAGCACGTGGTAAATCAGCACTTAAAATTGCAATTAACAATTTAATTGGTGCCGGCGGGGGATCGAACCCGGGTCGCGTACTGTGAAATTTACAGCTTGCGCTAACCATCTGAGCTACCACGGTTTAATCATATACACACACAATATTTAAATATAATTTGTTAACACTAAATCATACACACGTAAGAAAATAACAGAAAGAAAAGTAAGTTTGTTAATAGAATAAACACTTAAAATTGCAATTAACAATTTAATTGGTGCCGGCGGGGATCGAACCCAGGTCGCGTACTGTGAAATTTACAGCTTGCGCTAACCATCTGAGCTGCCACGGCTTAATCATATTACACACACAATATTTAAATATAATTTGTTAACACTAAATCATACACGTGTAAGAAAATAACAGAAAGAAAAGTAGGTTTGTCAATAGAATAAACACTTAAAATTGCAATTAACAATTTAATTGGTGCCTGCGGGGATCGAACCCGGGTCGCGTACTGTGAAATTTAAAGCTTGCGCTAACCATCTGAGCTACCACGGTTTAATCATATTACACACACAATATTTAAATATAATTTGTTAACACTAAATCATACACACGTAAGAAAATAACAGAAAGAAAAGTAAGTTTGTCAATAGAATAAACACTTAAAATTGCAATTAACAATTTAATTGGTGCCGGCGGGGATCGAACCCGGGTCGCGTACTGTGAAATTTACAGCTTGCGCTAACCATCTGAGCTAAAGTACAGATGGAACTAGAATGTTGATAGGATTCAGAATGAGTGGACTTCAGTTTGTGGCGAATATTGCTTAATGTATTTTCTATATAAGTTTCAGGGATTGAATAAAACTAAATTTACGGATTTTATCGCGTTTATTTCACTACTTTTACTTATTTTTAATTCCCGACGTTTCGGGTGCTTTACAGCAACCATGGTCACGGGGGGGGACTGAGATGTTTGACGTCCCAAAGTCATAGTTAGTCCGGCAACCTTCAGTTTTTGAATATTAATTTTTGGTCCGATTTACGCAAAACGAGCTTATAGTATCATGAAGTCTTGCAGTGGTATGCTTAGGTTTGGGTTTAATTTTGTTAATTATAGGATCCCAAGCAGGTGGCAGCATGCATCCATCTTCTCTATTGAAATTTGGATGTTTTTTTAATTTCAATAGCCTCGCGTATCATCCTTGGTAGGAATCGGTGTTCTTTTGCGAGAATTTGTGGTTTATCAAAACGAATGTAATGGTGGGGACGATCTTGAACATGTTCGCAGACTGCAGACTTCCCGGAGCGTCGGTGCTTCATGTCAGCTATATGTTCTTTCACGCGGATTTTTATGGATCTTTTTGTTTGACCTATGTAAGAGAGACCACATTCACAATCTAACTTGTACACTCCTGCATCTTGTAGAGGGATATTACACTTGACGGATGGTAAAAATTGACTAATCTTCTTCGGCGGCTTGTAGTATGTTTTAATAGAAGCTCGCTTCAAGATGTAGCCAACCTTGTCTGTGACTCCTCTGACATATGGTAGTATAGCAGGTACACGCTCGACTGTGGCCGGCTTCACTCGGTCACTGTGACGTAGGCGCGGGACCCGAAGCTTGTTGTCTTGCAATACTTGCTTGACGTGCTGAAGTTCGGCGGCCAGATGTTTTCTGTCACAGATCCCTCGTGCTCTCTGAAACAAAGATTTACCCACGGTAGCTAACTGTGAAGGATGATGGTGAGATTCACCATTTAAATATCGGTTGGTGTGGGTCTTTTTTTCTATACACAGTGTGACCAATTGTGTTATTAGGATTTCGAATGACTAAAACATCTAAGAAAGCTAAAGAATTATTTGCCTCTAACTCCATTGTGAAATGTATTTTAGAGTTTATAGAGTTAAGGTGGTTTAAAAATGCAGTTACTTTGTCAGATGGTAAAATTGTGAAAGTGTCGTCTACGTACCGCTTGTAGAATCTTGGATTTACAGGAGCAGTAAGAAGGGCTTTCTCCTCGAAGTCCTCCATGAATATGTCAGCGACTATGGGAGATACAGGTGAGCCCATCGCCACACCATCTACTTGCTTGTAGAACTCTTCCTTCCACAATAGATAGCCAGATGTGAGGCAGTGTTTGAGTAATACTGCATATTCAGCAGGCATATTATTATATTCTAGCTTCCTAGTTACAATTGATATGCAGTCTTCAATAGGTAGGCATGTGAATAGTGACTAAACATCAAAACTGACCATAGTTTCATTGTCAGCGAGATGTAGGTCTCTTATCTCACTAACAAAATGGTATGAATCCTTTGTGTGTGCTCTGGTATGTCCTCTCAGTGGTGACAGTACTTTTGCCAAGTGTTGTGCCAGCTTATAAGTTGGTGAATCGATCTGGCTCACTATCGGACGTAGTGGAGCGTTTGGTTTGCGTATCTTTGGTAACCCATACAACCTCGGTGGTTTGGTACATGATGGTATTAGCGAATTCACGTCGAGATTTAATTTTTCGGAGTGTTTCTTTATTAAATCGCTAGTTGCTTTAAGCGTGTTAGTTGTGGGGTCTGTTTTGACCTTTTTTGTATGTACTTTCGTCCGATTAAAGCTGTAGTATTTTAAAATTATACTCTCACGTGTCCATTATTACCGTAGCATTTCCTTTATCCGCGCGGAGAATCGTTAGGTCTAGTCTGTTCCGTAAGTTAATCAACGCTGTAAATTCGTCTTTAGGAAGGTTTGGTTTCGGCACTGAACTACGACGTAACAAGGACGAAATATCTTGACGTATAGCCTCCAAATCTTCCTTACCAATATTATTTTTAAAGAGACAATCCTCAACGCTGCAGATAATTTCTTCGTACGGGATTTTTCGCGGTGTTAATGAAAATTCATTCCCTTCGCTAACACCTTTATTGTTGGTTCATCCAGTGTATGTTTTGACAGATTATAGACCGTGCGTTGTTTATTGTTTGCGTTTGTGGTCAACGGTTGTATTTCGTTCTGACGTTGACTTAGATGGTTGGCATTTGATTTGATCGTTAATTTTTGGTATTTTTCTATTTGTTTATTTTTGCATTCATTGTATTTTGCTGTTTCTCGTTTGTTTAAAGTTTCGATGCAATTATAAAAATCAAATGTCGTTAAAACTGTCTTTAGTTCACTGAACAAATTGTCTATGGTGTTGTTTATGAAATGTAAATCGAACCGTTTCTGCTGAATCACCGTTCGTAACAACTTTTTACTTGCCTGATTTAAGATCTTTGCGCTTCCTCGAATGTCCTTTTTTTGTTGATATTTTGACACACGTAGGAATGAGATTATGGTCTCTGCATCTCTTCAAGAAATTTAAAGATGTTATATATCTTGCGCGCTTTGTTTTAAGATCTTCTAATCGGCGAATTTTATTTGCTATTACCAGTCCGTACTGGTTCACATAATGATTTCTTAAATTTACGCGAACACTACACATTGAATAAAACTAAATTTACGGATTTTATCGCGTTTATTTCACTACTTTTACTTATTTTTAATTCCCGACGTTTCGGGTGCTTTACAGCAACCATGGTCACGGGGGGGGACTGAGATGTTTGACGTCCCAATGTCATAGTTAGTCCGGCAACCTTCAGTTTTTGAATATTAATTTTTGGTCCGATTTACACAAAACGAGCTTATAGTATCATGAAGTCTTGCAGCGATATGCTTAGGTTTGGGTTTAATTTTGTTAATTATAGGATCACAAGCAGGTGGCAGCACCCATCCATCTTCTCTATTGAAACTAACTATCCCTCACCGGATATCAATTAGATAAGAGTTAATTGATCTGCACATCTCCGGAACCGTGCATCCTACGCAAAAACGGACCGCAGATTTGTGATCAGAGCATGCCATAACCTTTTCTTTTTAGGATCGTGAGTCGACGAACGTTGTACCACTTCTGACTCAGTGAGCCAGAACTGGTACTACCTATCTACATACTTCTGTTTCCTGAATACGAACAATCAAATAGTTCATCCGTCATCAAATGATTGACCTTTACAGCAGCTGTTAGTGTCAGTATGCCAAAAAGAGCGATCGATAATTCGAGAATTTCTTCACAAGTTGTAATTTTAAAGGTTGCTTTTACGTCAAGCCTTTGAATCATTAGCTAGATTTCTGCGTTGGTCCATTTTGTTATCTCCTCCACAATGCCATCAGTAATAAATATACTAAAACATTCTTAAGGCTTTTATTCATCCGAGTGGGACCTCTAGATGTTCTTATTATATTAGCAGATGATACCCTGCCACTTATTCTGCCTTTAGTGGCCGTCTAACTATGACCGTTTCTGCCGCTGAGATTTTGACGATGTGGCATGATAATATAAATCGACATACTGGAAGAAGCACTTTCAAGAGGTTTAGGATTCTTTTCAGACACATTTTTAGTTTACGATTGGTTTCCAGTGGTGGAGCACTCACGTCATAGTCTTCGGCATAACTCTGTACTTCATCTTCTAATAAATTATCTTCAGCTTCACTCTCCGACACTTGAATCTCTGCATCGCTAATATCATGCAACAGCCGACTGATTTCTGCACCGTCTGCACAAATTTATGACGTCATGTTTTTTACCGTAGCCCATAAAAATATTTCATTCATTCTCAAAGAAGTAACTGAAACACATTTTCCCTAAAGTCGAAAAACTGACACTATAGATACGTCACGTCACTTCGACGTACGACAGGTATATATAATATTGACGAAAGTATTGCACTTTTCTAAGCGTTACGGATGTGTCCTGTAAACTCCAAAAGCTGACTGAGTTGGCAGGAACGGCCAGCTTAGTGACGCGAAAAACAAACATATATATATATATATATATATATATATATATATATATATATATATATATATATATAGTTATATCGATTTTCCAAAATCAATTACGTTGATTCGACGTAGGTTATCTATCTAGGGTTAATTGAGAATCAAAATTCGTAACTAAGATGGTCGTATCGATGCAACTGACGTACTACAATAGTGTTACGAGTTTGAGGTTCGTGACAATTAAAAACTGCCGATGGAATTACCAAAATTTACACTATAATTTTCTTTACACCAATTAAAACTTAAAAACACTAATAACTAATCACACTGATTCACTTTATTTCGCTCCGAAGCTTCGCTTGTCTCGCCAAATTCAATACTGCCTCGAACCTCGATCGCGTCTTGCCGCGCTTTTTTATACACCTTTTCACCGAAACATCCAGAATATTCCGGTAGATGCGGGCGCCGACCGACCAGACGCAGAAAGTTCGAGTGCGGGGCCTTCTAGAAAGCTTAGTTCTTCAAACCGATACTAGATCGGTTGAATGATTAGTCATGTCATTTTCTGGAAAGCTCTCCTCGCTCTGTTACCCGACACTAGATGGCGCTAGTACCAGACGTCAGCTTAGGCGCGCAACACTGCCCCCTCCTAAGACATGCTCGTCCCGAGCATTATCGGCCCCATAATAACGAGCCAGGCGATCCACTCTGACGATCTTAGGAGTCCCTCTTGCGCCTTTCTGTATCCGGTAGGTTACATCGTTGATCCTGGTCACAATCTGGTACGGGCCGTCCCATTTAACTTGAAGCTTAGGAGATTTTCCTTTGCTGCGGACTGGATTGTGCAACCACACTAGTGAACCTTCGTCGAACCCTTTGTTGTATATTTTGCGGTCATACCGGGTTTTCATCTTTTCGGACATTTGCTGGCCCGATTGTCTGACGTGCTCATAAATGTCATTCATTTTGTTCCGCAAATCATTTGCATAATCGGTTATACTGCGTGGGGTATCAGGTGGTATCCCGGTGATCAGGTCTGCAGGCAGCCGTAATTCTCTTCCAAAGTTTGCGAAAGCTGGTGTCACTGACGTACTTTCGTGAACAGCGCTTCGATATGACAACAAAAACGGTTGTATGTGCTTGTCCCAATCTCGTTGCCGATTGTCTACAACTTTTGCTAGGTACCTCTCCAATGTCTGATTAAATCGTTCTACTATTCCATCAGATTGCGGGTGATAAGAAGTCCTTCTTGTTTTATGAGTACCCATAACTCGGCAAGTTTCCTAGAATATTTGAGACTCAACATTCCTTCCCTGATCGCTGTGAATCTCTAAAGGTACTCCAAAACGACAGAAGACTTCATGAACTAGTTTATCTGCAACTGTTGAAGCTTCTTGATTTGGAATGGCGAAGACTTCCGGCCACTTAGTGAAGTAATCCATCACAACCATGAAATACTTGTTACCGCTTTCACTCTCCGGTAACGGCCCCGCCACGTCAATGGCTATTCTCTCCCATGGTGCACCAACATTGTACAACTTCAATGCACCTCTACTACGAGTCTGAGGTCCCTTTACAGCCGCACAACTTGTACATTTCCGACACCAGTCCTCGACATCGTTTCGACAGTGGACCCAGTCAAACCGTTCTCGGATCTTCAGTAGAGTTCGTTTAACTCCCAGATGGCCTCCTGAACAATCATTATGGTACTATGGTACTTTAGCTTTAGGGACAACCATTCGCAAATGACAGCTGTCTTCCCGAACATTTTCCCATTTACGGCACAGAACTCCATCCTGAAGCAGCAAGCTGTCCCATTGGGCCCAATAGCTTTTAGTGGTCGAACTCATCGCTGAGACGTCGCTCCACTTGGGCTTGGTAGCACGGGCCTTCATCCATTCCAGAATCGGCTTGATGTCCGGATCTTCCTGCTGTGCATGTTATAAGCTGTCCTTCCACTCGTTGCTGAGGTGGTCTGTCCTGAGCATCCTCACCACTTCCTTACCCTCTTGCCTAGTACTGTTCTCGCAATCATCAGGATAAGGTCTTCTTGACAATGCATCTGTATTGCCTCGCCACTTCCCGCTGCAGTGTCCGATAGTAAAGTCGTATTCCTGCTGCTGCTGGGCGGTGCTGTAAGCCGTACTACCCTTTCAAGATCGATCACCTTCCCTTTTTACAGATCGCTTAGGGCAACTGGGTCCAAGATGGTCCCTTTCCCCACAGCTGTAGCGCCTTGGGCTGTAACTTTTATTGTGGTCGCGAACTGTAGGTGGTGCAACCTCCCTAACGTGAAGAGAACGATGATCTTGCCGCCGCCAAGCGGTGTCGTTAGCTGCACTACCCTCTCGAGATCGATTAACTTCCCTTTCTACAGTTTGCTTAGGGCAGCTGGATCGAAGATGGCCCCTTTCCCCACATCCGTAGCACCTAGGGCTATATCCATTATTGCGGTCGCGAACTGTAGCTGCTGCAACCTCCCTGACGCGCTGGGAACGAAGATCCTGCCGCACGGCTTCAACCTCAAGTAAATGGGCCGAGGTTTACTTAAGCGTCACGTGGTGCCTGAGCCTCACAGCAGCTCTGACTTTAAGGTCGCGGATGCCGTGGGTGAATGCCTGCACCGGTTTCCCTTCAATGAGCGCAGGTACAGACCGGTATGCTTTTCGCACCAGCTTCTCCACCTCTAGAGCCCACTGCTGCAGGTTTTCGTTGATGCGCTGCACGCGATCTTTAAGCTACGCGCGAAAGACGTGTTCCAGGTGAGCGTCGCCATATCTCGCCTCCAATGCCTCAAGGAGCTGCTCGTAGGTCACTTTCTTACCGAGAGCTTCCAACACAGTAAAGGCTTGGTCGGGCTGACAACCTTGCCCGGCAGGAGGTTCCCCTTTTCTATTCACGACCAATCTCTCTATACTCGTATCTATCGCTTATACAACATGCTTCATAGAATTTATAGTACCTTAGTCCAAAACATGTTTTCTACTTTTCATCGTCCGGATAGCTCTCAAATAAATACAGAAGTAGGTTGATTTTTTTGTAGAATAGGGGTGACAAGCGTACACACAGCCCACCTGATGGTAAGTGGATGCTGTGGCCCAATAGAGAATAGATGTAGATGTCTAATCTGCATCTATCCTCGATTAAGAATCAAAATTCAAGAGCGTTGTTACCCCTGAAGAGTAAGATGGAATGCCTCATATTTAGTAAAATATATATTGTTTTCGATACGTAGTAAGAATGAATAAGAGTGAGTAATTTTTATTTTGGAAGTGAGTGGCAGAGTCGGCAATCTACGATCTAAACGAAAGTTTATCGACCAAATTTGTGATATATTAAAGATGGGCCAAATTAAGAGTACCCTTAACTGACGATCATGTAACATGTATGCAAAGGATGTACTTATATATAGATTATGAAACAAGCGTGAGAGGTGTGTCAGGATTGTGCCAAATGGAAGTTCGTAGTCTCTGCATAACCCTCTGGCTAGCAGGCGTAAGAGTTTGTATAATATATTTATACTAATTATTGCCGCTTTTCCTCCGCTTAGCCTCTCAACTGTCCCGGCCAAAATGCCCGCTTTGGCGCATCTGTCTAACCCTAAACGAGTGATTTATTGCCTACGTGGCGCGTGTCATTTAAAATTATATATCATATATACGAATATCTTAATAATCATGTATGGAAACTATATAAAATAATATGTTGTTAGAATTATTGTTGAGTAAGCTAATAGAATATGTGTAAATGTGTACGTTCACCTTTTTTAATATATTTTCACATATTTTCAAATTCCATGATAAAAATGCTAGAAGCGATTTTTTTCCGGTTTGTTGAGTAAAAAATGTAAATAATAATAATTATTATTATTTCCATAAATATTTATTTTATTCACAATAAGACTACACTTTACAATTAATAAAAAAACACAACTCCGCGTACATTTTTTTTACACCACAAGCTCGACAATTATGTAGGCCACTTAAGATGACCCGGTACAGGCACAAAAAGGCACATTTTGTACTTCAATAGCCACAATTCCATACCGAAATAAGGGAGATACGTACACATTTACTACGGTTGTTTCGTGTCTGAAGTTTATAAGTAAATAGCAACCTTCGAAAGGTTGTGGACAGACGCGTACTTTTTTAATAACGACCTTTAGAAGGTTTTGGTCTGACGAGAGGTCAAGAGTGCGTTATAAACGGTAGAGCCGTTGGTCGCCTCGACCGTGTTAAGACCACTCTATTATTGATTCTTAACCGAGGATAGATGTAGGTGACAGCTTCTAATTAACAGCAAGTGAACTGTGTGCTTGTTTCTATTTAAAAAAGATATTATTTAAGCTCTTAAGCGTGTAAACTATTGTTAATCCAAATAAATTAAAAAGACAAAATACCACGTAAAATTATTGCGAAATACCTTCAGTTAAATCGTCGTTATAATACAGCAGGAGTTCAGGGATATAAATATTCTCAGGAAGCGCGAGGTCATTAAAGCAATCCCTTTCGTCAACTATTCCGTTCTGTTCGAGCGTACGATTGTAATCGAGACCCTTCCCTAGATGGCGCCAAGTATAGGAGAGCATATGCGAATTGTAGGGTAGGTAACGCATCATAATTTGATATATTGTCTCCTCAGAACACACTTCCAGCGTCACAGATGAACCTGGTAAATTACCAGTACATTTGTTTAAGAGTAAAAATAACATGTTTTAATTCATACATTTAAATAAAATTGAATTGCTTGCTTGTAATATTGAAATTTCCTTTATTAGCTATCTATTCCTTTATTCGTCTTTATTGAGCTGAAAGGGTGATTTGCATACCATAGGACATGAAAAACCATTTAAAAAAATTTTGTCCGACGATCTGTCTGTTCGGGATAGAGTAATGCCAGAAATGATAATCCGAAAAAATTGGAGTTTCTTTTGAAAAAAAAAACAAAAATTAGATATAGTATGTTCCACCTATTTAGTCATTATTCCCATATACTTTTAATTTTTCACGGATGATAAAGTATGTCAAAGAATACCAGCGTGAAACAGCGTTGGGAAAACCGTAGACGCTTTTACTACATCTTTAGGATTAATCCTCAGGCGTGATAACGCATTTTTTTATGGGTGAGGGGGCAAACGAGAATGCGGCTCATCTGATAGTAAGTGACTACCGCCGCCCATCAACAACTGCAACACCAAGGGAATTGCAGATGCATTGCCGTCTTTTCACAAATAGTAGGCTCTTTTCTTGAAGATCCTTAGGTCGTATCGCTCCGGATAAATCGCTCGTAATTCTAAATTGAGCAGTGGTGGATCGTCAATCATCCAATTAGTAGGTATAGATGGTATCGCGAGTTTTATCGCGATGTGCGATTATGAAATCGAGCGGGTGGAATTAGTCTGAACAATCCCTCAGAGCACTCCCCGTGGAAGATGCGATAAAATTCGCAAAGAGACGCAATATCTTTCCCCAGTGCCAGTGAATCAATCCGATCAGACTTTGTTCAACAATGTCTCGACTTCAGACACAAGTTTGTTCCATCACTTCCCTATACTTTTTCTTTCTTCTTCTTATTGACTGCTGGTCTTGCACTTTTCCCGAACGTGTCGTGTACTTGTTTGTCACGCATATTCTTAAAAAAAATATTTACTTTTTGGATTCATGATAATGAAATGGTTTTCTTAACCCACTACTATTGTCGTTTCAAGAGTTTACCAAATGGCATCCAAATGTAAACTAAAATAAGTAGCTTACGAGGGTGGATTGAAAAGTACTCGGCCTAACCAAGAAAATAAACATATACTAAATCAGTTATATTTTTATTTTTCTACATAATCACCATCAAGTTCAATACACTTTTGCCACCTCCCCTTCCAAGCATTTAGACCGTTGAAAAAAAATGATTCTTCCTTAGAGTCAAAATATGCGTCTACAGCTGCTTTGACCTCGTCGTTTGTCGAAAATCTTTGACCTCCCAAGTGCTTTTTTAGGTTAGGGAACAGAAAGAAGTCTGATGGTGCCAGATCAGGTGAATACGGCGGATGTGGTAACAGTTCAAAGCCACAGTTGTGAATTTCAGCCATTGACTGTACTAACGTGTGAACACGGGCGTTATCTTGATGAAACAGGACTTTTCTTCTGAGCATTCCTCGACGTTTTTCTTTTATTTCCTCTCGTAAACGACGTAGTAAGGTGCAGCAGTAATCAGAGTTTATAGTCTGACCCCTTTCAAGATAATCAATCATAATCACACCTTTCGAGTCCCAGAATACTGAAGCCATCACCTTATTTGCCGACAAAATCGACTTAGCCTTTTTAGGGGGTGGTGAACCAGGTCTTCTCCACTGTTTTGATTGTTGTTTTGTTTCCGGTGTACAGTAATGAACCAATGTTTTGTCCATAGTAACAAAACGATTCAAAAAATCATCTGCATCGGCTTCAAATAACTCCAAACAGTCGCGTGAAATAGTCAATCGCGTCCTTTTTTGTTCAACTGAAAGCAGTCGCGGAACCCACCTCGCAGACACCTTGTGGAAACCCAACTCGTTGACAATGATGTTTTGAGTTCGTTCATAAGAGATGCCTATAATCTCGGCTATCTCTCTAATTTTTAATCTGCGGTCTCCCATTATTAAATCAAGTACTTTTTTAATATTTTCGTCAGTAGTTGACGTCGAAGGCCTTCCAGAGCGGGGTTCATCTTTCACACTCTCTCTACCACGCTTAAATTCTGCTATCCATTTTTTGACGGATGAATATGACAGAGCACAATCGTTTAATGTACTGACCATGTCATCATGGATGGCTTTTGATGATAGCCCCTTCTTATGGAGGTACTTAATGACGGCACGCTGCTCGATTTGCTCCATTCGCGGAAATTATGTCCGATTACTTTGTTAATAAATTTATAAAATCACAACTAATTATCGCACACGTTTCGAACTTCACACAATGAACTAGTCTGAACTGAACTAAATAATGTGGGTAGATTTGATTTTTAAAATTGAATGGATCTGTGTTGGGCCGAGTACTTTTCAATCCACCCTCGTATTTCCGGGTTAAGCAGTTAGGTAAATTAACCCTCAAACTTTGTAGGGTTTGTGCATATTTTATTTGAAATTTTACTAGTGCATTAAATCTCGTTCGTTATCTAGCATCGCATGTAAATGAGATCGGAGTATGGAGTAGTTTATGTTTCCATCAACTATTACAGCTTATAAAATTACACGTTCCAACACCCATGCTTCTTCTTATGCTTCATAAGAGCGATTTTGCCACAGTTACCACGCTTTTAGGCTGACTGGGGACCCCAGTTTATTACAACTTGGAGTTGTTATCACGAAGACGTTGCTGCCCATCACCTGTTTCAGTTTGCCTGTGTAGCCTCTTACGAAATCCACAGGACGATATGGGATAGCTTGTTTATTACACTGCATCTACACGGTTATGTAGGAATGTCTCCAAATTTGCATTAAATTATTTATGTATATTAATTAATGTACGTGAATATGTTACAGAATATATAAGAATAAATCAGAGACTAAGTGCTCGCAGTAATTTTTACAGAACGCGAGTCACTCTGTTTCAATACCCGCCAGCACCAGTGAAATTGCTGGGTGTCTCTTAATGGAAAGGTACTGGATTTGACTTCTTGGTTGGAGAAGCAGCTAAAGCTCTGCAAATGCACCAAAAGTGCCGATTCAGCATATGCCCGTCGGTCAAGGAAAACGTCATGGTGAAACCTGCATGACAGAAGAGTAAAAATATATTTCGAAAACGACGAAGCGAGAGAAGCCCTGTGCCTAACTATGGGACATATACATCGGTCTTTACTTTAACTTTACATCAAAGTACAAGGTCCCAATATTCTATTATAAGACAACTTGTACCTTTTCGGATATTTTTATATGGAATAACGTTACGTGAACGCTGTAACCCAAACACCTGCATCTATCCTCGATTAAGAATTAAAATGCAGATACGTTATCACTCCTAAAGACCATGATGAAATGCATCGTTTTTAATAAAAAGGGTTCGCTATCCTCATCTTATGAATCACAACAGTAACTAATCTGCTATTCCACGATGGTATTCTGAGCGTGAGCCTTCCTCGGTCTAGCCAACCTATTCCATAACTACAGCGTGGTTTTAAAAAACCATATCCAAGAGACAAAATTCAACACTTTCTGTGATTATTTAAAGAAAATTCTGTTACCTTACCTGTTAAAGTATTGGTGATTCTAATCGGTCTGGTCCTCGAAGTTAACTTCCCAACCACAAAGCTTTCGTCTTGCCACCAGGGTTTGCTGATGGGCCGCCAACGTGTCGACGGCACGACCGGCTGTCTAAAGCCATGGCCATGGCGCATATACGGAATGTTGGAACCAACAATTGGATGAATATATTTCACCCATTCTTCACCTTTAAACCAGTGGCTTACGTCCTTGCCGGCATATGCTATTATTGTCATTGCTAGCTGCGAAGCAAGTAAGTCATACAAAACTTTACACCACTTGAAACTTTGACAACTTCACAACACCATCAAGAATGATTTTTATTTTTTAACTGTGCAATTTTTTAGTATTAGAAGAGCAATTAAATCACGCGGGGTTTTGTGTGAAGTCTTTGGATTTTCTTTAAAACTTTAACACCTTATTAATCTATAAGATTGTCTATTGAAGCTATTTATAATCGAAATACCACTTTTTTATTACCTCCACACTAGGATTTTCTCCTGCATCGTGGGGGCAGTTTACAAACATAAATTTCACAAGCACAAACATCCAGACCCGGAACAATTACTTGTAGGCCATACAAATACTTGTTCCGTGCGGGACAACTGACTCAATCATATCGAGATCTCCCAAACTATTCGCCCGATTGAGTTAAAATTTTGCATATATTATACTCCTTTCTCGACGTATAAACCCACTAAAGATTTTGAGAAAATTTAACCCCCGAAAGGGATGAAATAGGGAACAGCTTGTTCATCATAAGTACGCTATACTTCCGTACACACTTCAGAACATATCTTCATAGATTTCTACTATAGGACATAGTTAAAATATTCAAGATTTTATATATTCGCCACACTAAACAAGCGGATTGCCAACCTCTTTTTATTTTGTTTGCGTAAATAAGGAGTGTCAACACAACAAAAAAAAAACATACGTGGTAGAGCCACGCTGCAGCTAAATTATAGTTGCAGCACGAATGGGTCGGCTCGACCGGGGAAGGACCACGCTCTCACAGAATACCAGCGTAAAATAGCAGCTTAATACTGCTGTGTTTCGTATGGTGAGTGTAGAGATCCGGAGACCCTCTTTTACTGGAAACGAGACATTCCATCTTATTCCTCATGGGAGATAACGCATTTGCGTTTTAATTCTTAATCGAGGATAAATGTAGACGTCTATGGGCCACAGCATCCAGTTACCATCAGGTAGACTGTGTGCTGGTTTGTCATCCTTATTCTATAAAAAAAAACAGTAGGCGCCATTACAGATTAAAAATTTGTATTAACTACGCTCTCGCGGAATAAAATAGCACCACAATACTGCTAAGTTCATATGATAATTTTAGAGAACGTTTTTGCTGTTAATAAGGTAACGTTTCATCTAGTACAAGTAATAGCGTACTTGTGGTATAGAGGTCAGTGGGTGGCAACGCATTTACATTTCGTTTTTTTTTTATCGATAATACATGTAGACGTCTTTGAACCACAGTATTCACTTACCAACAGTAGGACTTTTTGCTCGTATTTCAACTTACTCCTGTTAAAAAAAGTATAAGTAGTAATTTCTATGTATAATTCGCCTTACTCATATAGTGTATTATTTAAGAGTAACTTACTCTTTTCGCATCGCAATACATGTACCCTCTTTTAAAACAAGCGCAGTACTCAATGCAGTCGACACCGCAGTACCAGTTCTTGACGGTGCACGAGCAGCTTTTGGTGCATTTGCAGAGCTTTAGCTGCTTCTCCAACCAAGAAGTCAAATCCAGTACCTTTCCATTAAGAGACACCCAGCAGTCATTAGGACTGTTATGGATTGCGACCTCTGCAGGTGTGTAGTATTCTTGCTTTGAATAGATCATATTTGCCACGATCAATAATTTTATTTTATTGTAAATGCGTTCGAAAATCCATTGTCCTTTTTGACAGCTTCAAAACAAACGCTTTGTTTTTAAGTCTATACGTCATCAGCAAGATAGTGTTGTATCCATAGACTTAGAATATATACTGTCGTATATACTACCTGTATCGTAGACAGAGAATTTTTAAAGGATACCTTTCTTTGCGATCAAGCCTCAGAGCAAGTACAAGTGTAGGCGGAGCTTTACTCGACATTTAAAAAAATAGAATTTTCTTAGAAACGACACCCCTCGGTAGAGTAATAGTCAAGGCATTTAAATACTACCAACGTAGCGTTAGTTGTATATAAATTACTTCATAATAGAGGCACAAGTAAAAGCCAAAAGCCAACTTCCTGACTTCGGGTTGCTACTGAGAATTGCATGACAGAAAAACCCGTTAACGGATTTTAGTCCGACCCGGGATTTGAAACCGGCACCACATGCTCAGTAACCGCGTTTATGGCCACTTGATCAAAGAGGCAGTAAATAGTGGTAACAAATAGTCTTAGAGCAAAACGACCATCGCGCACGACTCGAGGATCTAGAATCTAGATAAACTTGGAAAGTTTAACTTTATCGTAATACAAAATTTCAAGCAGATCGTTACAAATATTTTCGAGCAACCTATAAAAAGAGATGTTCACTTAAAGTATAAGATTCTTATGGATTTTTTTTACGTGGTAGAGCCATGCTACAGCTATATTGGGTATATCGCGTTTAATTAACTATTTTATTCTGCGTAGATCAGACCGAAAATTAATATTAAAAAACTGAAGGTAGCCGGGTTAACTATGACATTGGGACGTCAAACATCTCAGTCCCCCCCGTGACCATGGGTGGTGTAAAGCACCCCAAACGTCGCGAATTTGAAAATAAGTTAAAATAGTTAATTAAACGCGATAAAATCCGTAAAAGACATAGTTTTAGCGAATGAGTCGGCTCGATCTGGGAAGGATCACGCTTACATAGAATACCATCGTAAAATAGCAGCTCAATGTTGCTGTGTTTCGTATGGTGAGTGTAACAAACCCTTTTTACTGGAAACGAGGCATTTCATCTTAGTCCTCACGGATGACAACGCATTTGCATTCTTAATCGAGGATAACATATGTAGATGTCTATAAGCCACATCATCTACTTACTATCAGGTGGACTGTGTGCTCGTTTGTCACCTTTGATTTATAAAAAAAAGTAATGAAAAGTCCATTCACATACATGTATCTACATATATGTACTTTACTTGAATTAACAATTTGACAGAGCAAATGCTATTAGGTATAATTTTTGAACCCATAATACTCACCTATACATGAGCATTTTTAGCACTTTTTTCATTAGACGGCTGGATAGTGCAATGGCTAAACATTTGGCTGTGGGGTTTAGAGGCTGCGGGTTGAAATCTCACACAAAACAGGTGTTTGTATAGCCTACAAATAATTGTCTTATCACGAAGTAGTAGGATACCCTTTTTGCTGAGGAGTTAGGGGTCATCTGGGAAGGAGTACATCCAGGTAGGTACGAAGGATGGGAACGGTGTGAAGAGCATAAGACGGCAGTATAATTACAGGATGTAAGGCATTCCATCTAAGTCCTCAGAGGTGACAACGTATTTGTAGGTTTCTTTGTTTGAAGTTCGTTGCAAGTGAATGTAAATAGCAGTAGACAGATACCAAACTGAAAGATGGACTGAACTGTCAGTTCAAATTATTAAAAAAATATGTTTGGATTTTTTGTCACTTGCAATTTATGTATGTGAAACGCCTCCATTATAATAAATAAGTTCATACGTGGTAGAGCCACGCTACAGTTACAATCGTTGTAGCACGAATGTGTCGGCTCGACCGAGGAAATACCACGCTCTTACAGAATACCAGCGTAAATTAGCAACCTAATACTGCTGTGTTTCGTATGGTGAGTTTCGAGATTCGGAGACCCTTTCTTTACAGGAGACGAGGCATTCCATTTTAGTCCTTGGGAGTGACAACGCATCTGACTTTTGATTCTTAATCGAGGATAAACGTAGATGTCTATGGGCCACAGCATCCACTAACCATCAGGCGGACTGTGTGCTCGTTTGTTACCCTTATTCTATAAAAAAGTGAAAATCCAAGCAATACATCCTAGTATAAACAGTTCGGTCCTTTTTTTAAATTCACTTTCTTCACTCGTAGACCAGTTCCATCTTAAAAGAGCAAACGGAGATAGAATATGCATTACCTCATATCGTCTCGTAGCTGTCATAAAAAGCGGCTACGGAAAAATCAATATGAGTAATCAAATAGACCTTCCGCCATAGATTGGCCATGGAAAGGTCTATTTTCAGCAGTGGCCTTATGTAGATTGTAATGGAAAGATGGATGGATTGAAACAAATATGCAGTCACTTAGGCGCTTTGCACACGCAGCAACTTTAGTTGATTCAACTATCAACTTTTCGAAAGATTTCTTTACAAATTGCCAGTTTCTACAATCAAATAGACTGTTTTACAGTTGCAGCAATTTTATGGCAATCTGTGAGAAACGTTCATAACTGAGTTGCACAATCTACGCAGCGATCAGCATTGTGACGATGGATACCGAAGAAGGAGCACTTATTCTCATTTTATTAGGTTATCGCCGTCGATGGCGTCAACAAAGACAAAAAAACCGATATATACTTAACAGTTGCTAGTTGCGGCAATTAGAAACTTAATCATCGATTAGCGCAAGTTAAAACTGTTGACGATCACCGGAAATCGAAACTCGAGTTGCTATGTGTGCGCAACCCCATTTGATGATGTGTAAACAGCTAGTTGCCAGTTGCCAGTTGCCAGTTGCTGCAATAGTTGCTGCATGTGCAAAGCGCCTTAATAAAATAGTCCGGTGTTTCGGTTAAACAAATCATTATATTTTAGTAAATACACTTGTATAGTAATATACATGTCATTCTTTCATAATCCATTATTTTATATAAGGACAAGTAACAATAAATTTTGTTGTTTTTTACAATTGTTACAATAACAAGATTATTTTGTTTTCAGAAGACAATCATATTATTTAAAAAACTCATAAACTTTGACAAAGAGAATCTTTTATTTTATATTATTTTTTCCATAGATATTTTGTGTGGACTTGCTATTAGTGGCGCATTGACTAGGGATAATTCAAAAGGTAATTATAATTATCTAAAAGGCGTCATCATTTCTCACAGCTTGTGCTCAAAGTTAGTGAAAATAAAACAAAAGATCTTCAAACTAAATTAAATTTAAAAAATTTAAAGCCTTTAATCTTTTTCTTAAATGAATAAAATAATAATTTTTCAAACATATAATATAAATATATGTCGGAGGAAGTAGTCTGATTTACGTTGATTGCTGGTTTCATCGCGTGATATCGATTGTTCTCTAAAAATATGCTCTGTTAAATATTAATTTTATTTTATTTGGTTTGTTAGATTTTGTTATTGTGTAGAATCTTATTTAATCTCATTAAAGTTGTATTGTACTTCATACATGTTACGACCAAATCGAGCAGAGGGTAACAGGCCTTCTACAGGGTACGGACCAACCACCAACCGTCGTGACCTTGGTCGAGTTGATGTAAAAATGGACAGTGTAGACATCGGTTGTCTGACAAATAATTTGGTTGATGTCCGACGGCCTTTGTCGCGAGCGCATCGCTCACGACAATTCGTGCGACTTTACCCGACGACGTGTCGCCACTCGCCACTGTTTTTTTTTAATACGGTAGGGTTATAGTTCACGGTCCACGGACTGTCCATACAAAAATAAGCATGTTACGAGCTTGAGGTTCGTGACAATAAAAATTGCCGATAAAATTACCTAAATTAACACTTTAATTTACTTTACACAAATTAAAACTTAAAACACTAATAATTAAACACACTAATTCACTTTATTCCGCTCCGAAGCTTCGCTTGTCTCGCCAAATCCAATACTGCCCCGATCGCGTATTGCAGCGCCTATATATACAAATTAGCAATGAAGCATCCGGAATATTCAAGTAAATGCGCGCAAAGCGACGAGTGCTCGAGTGTAGATTTTCTAGAAACTTAGTTCTTCGGTTCGAGACTAGATGGCGCTAGTGCCGTCGACTTGAGCGCGTAACACTGCCCCCCTCCTAAGACATGCTCGTCCCGAGCATTATCGGCCCCATAATAACGCGCCAAGCGATCCACATGGACGATCTTAGGAGTCCCTCTTGCGCCTTTCTGTAACGGCTCCGCAATGTCAAGGGCTGTCCTATCCCGTGGTGCACTAACATTGTACAATTTCGGTGCTCCTCTACTACGTGTCTGAGGTCCCCGCACGGCCACACAACTTGTACATGTACGACACCAAGCCTCGACATCGTTACGATAATGGACCCAGTAAAACTGTTCTCGGACCTTCAGAAGAGTTCGTTTAACTCCCAGATGGACTCTTGAGCGACCATTATGGCACAGCTGTAGAACATTCGGCACTTTAGCTTTAGGGACAACCATTTGCAAACGACAGCTGTCTCCTCGACCATTTTCCCATTTACGGCACAGGACTCCATCCTGAATCAGCAAGCTGCCCCATTGGGCCCAATAGCTTTTCGTGGTTGAACTCATCGCTGAGACGTCCCTCCACTTAGGCTTGGTAGCACGGGCCTTCATCCATCCCAGAATCGGCTTGATGTCCGGATCTTCCTGCTGTGCATGTCGTAGACTGTCCTTCCACCCGTTGCTGAGGTGGTCTGTCCTGAGCATCCTCACGGATACCACTTCCTTACTCTCTTGCCTACTACAATGGTTGCAATCTTCAGGACAAGGTCTTCTTGACAATGCATCTGCGTTGCCGTGAGATTTCCCGCTGCAGTGTCTGATAGTAAAGTCGTATTCCTGCTGCTGCTGGGCGGTGCTGTTAGCCGCACTTCCTTTCTGAGACCGTTCACCTTCCCTTCCTAGGGTGTGCTTAGGGCAGCTGGACCGAAGATGGC